AAAAAAAAAAAAAAAAAAAAAAAAAAAAAAAAAAAAAAAAAAAAAAAAAAAAAAAAAAAAAAAAAAAAAGAAGAAGAAGATTAATGTGTGTTGCATGAATAGAAGATGCTTATATACTTTGGATTTGGGCGCCTCCTTTTTTTAAATCAACTAGAGAAATAAATTTTCCAAGTTCAATAGGAACGAATATATTTTTTTTAATTAAATCGAAAAGGGAAAAAAATAAATTATAAACTTTATTATTTATTTAGAAAAACACCCTTATTTTTAAAGAAAATTACAATATTACCCCTCACTTACTAGAAATCTATTTAAATATTAAATAAAAATTGATATGACGGTGGCTAAAATACTTGCCTAAATTAAGATCGAAAAAAATGATTTTCTATCTAACGTTCTAATGAGTCTCTACACGAACGGTAGTTTTGAAACGTTTATAAATGATCATTTTCAGAAGTGTAGGGACTAAACTGAAATATATGAGAAAAAATTAATTGATCGAAGTGGGTAGCTCGAGTAGACTCATAAATCATGGAACAAATAGAGTGGGTAGGCCCAAACACCACGCTATAGGTATAGACGTGAACCCCCTTCGTTATCGTACATGAGACTCTCACCATATACAGCTCACACAAAGACTCATAAATCTATCCCGAGTCTTTTTTTCCACCTCTTTTCTCCAATCCTCGATCAAACTTGCATTCTCCCGGTGCTATGAATTGGGGGCCTTTACTTTGCCTATCGTATGTATTGACATGACTTCGTGCAGAACCAAAAAGAAATCAAAGTATAGTTGGTCGAGTGCCACACAAGAACAAACATCAGCTCAAAGCGAACAATCTAGACTTCCCCCTTCAGCTAGATTGTTTTCTTTGACTGACATTTTGCCTTCAATGTTAACCGAGTTCCCGTATTCATAATTACAAGTTTTCTTATACCAAACTCTCGTTAAATTAGTTTGAGAAGTTCGTGAACTAGTTCGAGTATTTATAGACATATAAGACCCATAAAATATTTTTTTGAACCCAATTCTAAAAATGTGCACATGGGTTTGCACCTCGTCCCGTTTATGTATGAGTTGTAACTAAGTTCGGCGTCCTGTTACGTATTGTGTAACACCTCAAGCCCATTATATTACGTATGAGTTATAACCGAGTTTAACGACCTATTATATATCGTCGTCAGCTTCACAATTTTAAAACGCGATTATAAGGGAAAGGTTTTGACACGTGTATCAAATTAATTATTATACTTTATTCCTTAATAACAAATGGGCCCAAAAATTCTTTATTAGTTCCATTATTTATGAGTATATTGCATGTGAATATTAATGATATGATTAGAAAGGAAAGAAAATGACATTCTTTTTGAACGTCGTTTGTATTACAGATCAAAGTTATTATCGGATTCAAAAAACGCTTAAAATGTTAAACGAAAAGTTGACGTGTCTGAATGTTTCTATATCGTTTTTTCATACATAGTCTAGACGAATATTCTAGTCACCGTTATGTCGTTTTAGGTTAGTGTCGAGTTAATTTTTGTTTCAATATTCTATCAGGATGTTTACTCTAAAAGTAAATTAAAACGTTTACGAATGGTCAATAGTAATATTGTAATGTTTAAAAATATTTATTGTTATCGATACTTTATCAATATATTTGTTAGTATGTTGAAGAATGAACGTTTCGTTCATGCTCGAGATGCATTGGAATCGACTTTAGAATTAAACAAAACTAAAGGTTAAATAAACTTATATTAAATAATTATAGAGAAAGTTATCACGAGCTTTTTATTTTTCTTCCAGCTAGATTCGAGAGAGATCTAGAGAATTCTTCAGATGTACATCTGGCTCAACTCAAGTGTCCGGCTCTTAAAGAATCGTTGTCAA